TTTTGCCCTTGGTCATTCTGTTTCTCTGTTTAGATAAGGAAATATCTCTGAAATGATGACCTAAAGGGTCCACAGGTTGTCTCATAAACCTTAAACATTGGTTTATACATTAGAATGACTGGGGTTTATGCAACATAATAAGCCAAAACCTCAGTCAACTCACCCTCAGTAGCTTTACATCTAGGATATATGAGGGCTAAACCAAATGTAATTCTTGGTTAGAGAATAGGATTGTTTCTAGAAATAGTTAGGTGCCTACAAATCTGTCTCCAGAACTCTGCATTCAGAAATGGTGGTCCAACAGATATTGTTAGCCTTGGTGACTCTGCCTTTCTTTCAAGTAGATCTGCCTTGGGGAAAATGCCAGAGATGAATTCAATGTTGTAGAGATCCTACCACCAAAGGGTAGCACAAATTCAACTCCAGTGCGCATTGCAACCTTGAAACTTTCTGTGCTTCCGATGGTGAGTTATGTCATCATAATTATTTTTTATTAGAATTTCTTTTTTGGAAGATAATTCCAAACAACTTCTACCTAGCTTTTCCTCCAAAGCTTTCTAGCTAGCATAGTCATCCTGTTTAAAAAATTTCTCTACTGAAGTTCAGCTAGAGGTCATTTTGATTTGATCCCATAGATGCAACAGCAGAATTTACTAGCCAGTGTTCAGTCTATCAAGTTAGTATTAATGGTTTTTGTATTTTTTGCTTAATTGAAATGTTGAATAGCTTATCAGGCTGTGAATTTTTATGTTCTCTAGGCAACTCTAGCAGGTCTTGATCTGACTCCTCCCATCACATTTAGGCTAAAATCAGGATCTGGACCTGTGTACCTTGCTGGACAACATGTAACAGGTAAAACCCAAAGCACTTGATCCTGATGGGACAACCAGAAGGTGATCTTGGGTTCTATTAAGCGGCTCTTTAGATTTGCTCAAATGTTCTTGTGAAAGATATTTTTTCCATATAATTTCTGAAAACACATTTGTCTATTTCTCTAATTTGGATCTATAGCTGTTTTGCTGTGATCACCTGCAGATCAGTTTAAAGCTGGGTTCATACATTATACAGATATATATTTGGATTGATTTGGGATTAGTGTGTTGTGGGAACCCAGCCACTGTGATTTAGAAACTGTGACCTATAACTTAATATGTTGTATGAACCAAGCTGATCATAGTTTTAATAAGCTGTGCTTAAACAAACGATGACTGGCTATAATATGCAAACCCAGCTTGTCTGTGTATGCGTGAAAGCCAGTGTGGTATAGCAATTAGAGGGCTAGATTAGAAGCAGGAAGAGCAAGTCTGAGTCCTTCTTTACATATGGATTTTGGCAGAGTGACTTCAGGTTAGTCACTTTCTCAGCCCTACACAGGGGAAACATATCTACCAACCCACACTGTATCAGCATGGTAGATTACAATCCATAATCTTCAGTAAAGAGACCTTCATCCAGTAATGGATTGTTTTGGGCTGAATATATACATATATAGTCCATCTTTACAAAGATTTAATGGCAAATATTAAACGCATGAATTTGTTTGCTGCAACTCCTCCCTTCCCTTCCTTTGCTGGGAAAACTGCAGGAAAAAAAACCTAAGCCAGGCTTAGTTGAATCTTGAGCCTCATTTGAAACGTCAGCTACATTCAGTAGATTATTGCTTTTCAGCAGTTCTCCGTGAATGCTGTAAGTCTAAAAATGGAGGTGATGTGGCTGGATAACGTGTTTCCCCTCCAAGAGTAGAAGCAGGTTGAATTAAATAATCATACAGTGGTACCTCGGTTTACAAACGCCTCTGTTAATGAACTTTTCGGGTTACGACCAGCTCCGGCCGCAAAAATTTATCTCAGTTTGCGAACTCCGCCTCGGGGTACGAGCAGGATACGCGGCCATTTTCCAACCCCTGACACGTGGTCTGCGGCCATTTTCCAACCCCTGACACGTGGTCCGC